GGGCGGTTCCCTCCTCTGATCTGCCATAAATTACATTTTCATTCTAAGATTTGAACCGCATAAGTTATTATTTTGCCAATTTGTGGAAATTAATATGATTGAACTTTCAGACGTTTTAGCTAAGATTGGACTTGTTCAGCAAGTTAAATTGCATCTATTGCACAATTTGCTAATTTTCTGTATCGTCTTTTCTATCAAGTGATTGCTGGCATCCGGGAAACAGACGAGAAGTTTTATTACATTGTAAAAGAAGAGCGCAATTACCGCGATGCACTGACTCAGTGCAGAATCAGAGGTGGCACCTTGGCCATGCCCAAGGACATGGCCACCAACTCGCTGATGGCAGAATATATATCCAGCTTGGGTTTACTGAGGGTCTTCATTGGCATCAATGACCTAGAGAAAGAGAAGCAGTTTATGTACACGGATAACACCCCCCTACAGCACTTCAGCAACTGGAAGCCTGGGGAACCCAATGACGGTTCAGGATACGAGGACTGTGTGGAAATGCTCAGCTCCGGCGCCTGGAATGATGTTGATTGTCAGCTTACAATTTACTTTGTCTGTGAGTTTATGAAAAGGGCAACATAGTCCAAATTGACTATTTTGGGGGTTAATATAACTATAAAGTGCATGTTTTAAATAAGCTTCGATATTGGAAGTCTTCCAACTGCTTACCCCTATAGCATTATTCCCTACATGACTGCAAACACCATTTCTGCGGCAGATGGGCAAAACTGAGACTGTTGGAAGGCTCCAGACATTTCAACCTTTAACCTTATATCATCCATCTGCCCAGGAAATCTGCCTGGCAGGGACACAGATACACTTAAAGTGTATCTAAAAACAAGAAAGTTAATATATGGCAGCTTACCAGTCCTTAGATGTGGTGGGTACATTCATTTATTTTCCTTTAATTTCACCTGAGAATTCTGCCAGTAACACTTCTTGCCCTAGGGTAACAACGTTCATTCACTCGACTGTATCTATGGAACGAGCCATGGTTGTCAGCCTAGGACAGGACAACAGAGACCTCTCCCCTTCTATAGAACATAGATGGGTGGATTTTGTAGACCTCAGAGATAACAAGGAACAATGTAACTGATAACAGTGCATCACAACCATACAGCACACAACGCTATCAACTGACAAGATTTCTGGGCAAGCTAAACAGATTGTTTTTGCACTTTAAAAAGATATAAAACCCTTTTAATGGTAAATTTAACAGATCAAAAGGGAACAAATAAGATTAGCTCCCTGCTAGGGTTGTAACCTCCAAAAAAAATATATATTTTTTGTTATTGCTGTTATATACGTTGCATGTGTTGTACATTATATTTTAAGGATTGCTTGTTATTTACTGGGGTCTGGGGTGCAGACAGAATGCTTTTATTTCATTCGTATGGCTTTTTGTATGATAATAAAGTTTGATTTAAAAAAAAAAGAAAGAATTTGTCTGCCAGGGGCATTTCTGTCTTACCGAACCTGAGGGTAGAAGCCCATCCCGCTGGTCCAGGAATTGAGCCAATGAGTCTATAGGGAAAGGTAAGTGGTTATCTAGTGACTCTCTTGCTAACACATTGACATCAGCCATAGTCAACCTCATGCTAAGCTAAGGTCACATGTGCGAAAGATGCCCAACACACTTTTCAACTAAAGTTGATCTCCAGGTCACCCCCCACTCCTCTATATTTGCCCTTCATGCCCTATCTAGATAATTGTCCAATTCAATTTAAATAGGTAAACTAACAAACGAAATGCCCCAATTTCTTAGATCAATGTTAATGAGAGACAGTGGGTCCCGAGTCTTCTTACATATGGACTGTGATGTGGGAGTGTCCTTCAAGTGCACACATGGCTCCCTGGAGGCGGAGTAGCCTACTATTGGTTGTAAGAAGAGTCCATTGGTGAGGTCCTCACAGGGTTCTGAAGGCTTTAAGTGGCAAAAACATGAATGGTTAGCAGGCTTGGACTGCAGTAGATCAGTACAGTGAAGTGTTGATCCACCACTGCAGCCCAAGTCTGCCAACCATTCTCGCTTTGGCTGAGAGAGAGGCACCACGGAGGGTCACATGACAGCGGACTCAGGTAAAAAGGAAAAAGATGGGCTTTTTTTTTAAATTGTAAATGGTAGGAGTAAGGTGGGGGGATTGTGGAATGGAATTGAGGGGAGGGGGGTTTATATGTACCTAAAGGGGATGGAACCAGAGAGAACAGAGGATGACCAGCCACTCAACTCTCTTGGTTATAATTTTTAGCCATTATAGCTCTTCAAGACAGTGAAGACTGCCAGTGCGGCCAATGACAGATAAGCTTTTCTTTATATGGAAACCATTTTTACAACTTTTTCAGCTAGCAAAAAAGTCACTTTAAAGAAGGTTATTTTAAAGGTAATCTTTAAAAATGAACCCTTGCAGGGGGCTACCCCTGCACTACAACGGTTAAATGCTCCTTTTGTCTAGGGGCGAAAATAAAGAACCCATACTCCCCCCCAATCTTCGGTCCCATATGGCTGCTAGACTGGTTTCCACAGCCTGTTCTCCCTTGGGCACCAGCGGTCTAAGGACTGCGACATCATACAGGTCCATTAGACGTGAAGACATCAAGGAACATACCACAACTGGAGCGGAGGGGTAGAGAAGTGAGCAGTCACTGCCGCAGGACTGAGGATCGGGTGGGTATTTCGTCTTTTTTTTCACCCCTAGACCAATATGAGCAGTTAAAGGAGAACTATGAGGTGAGTGCTTTTCACTCACCTCATAGTTCTAGTCGACCTGTGACAATGAAACTGTCACAGGTCGGCTCAGTAGATCGGGAGGTGAGCGAACACATACCGGCGTTCGCTCACCTCTTGATCCTGTCACGGCTCTCTGCCGTGACAGGGGAGGGGTTGGATTCCCCCCTTCCCGCTCTGATCCGCCAGCGCTGACTGGCGGAACGGACGGGGGAGGGGGCGGGTACAGCTGGCTCTGCCTTTAGATAGGCAGAGCCAGCTGCCAGTCACTCAGCTGGGCGGATCACGGCACAATTGTCGGGATCCGCTTCAGCTGCGGCGTCTCAGTATACCGCGAGCTACAGCTCGCGGTATACTGAGCCTAGGGTGACGGGAGGACGCTAGTTTGTGTCCTCCCGTTACCCTAAGGAGAACTATGGGGAAAAGCCTTAACCCCATAGTTCTCCTTTAACTCTTGCAGTGCTAGGGTAGCCCCACTGCAAGGATTCATTTTTAAAAATCCTGGACCAATAAAACGAGCCTGTTAGGACGGGAATATTGTAGCTGCCATTACTTACTTGGTTTTGGAAGTGCAAGCACCCAGGCAGTCTAATGTATTAACTACTTTGGTCATGACCACTACCTTGATCATGAAAAATGCATGCAACCAGTAAAACTTCAGGACCCTAAATATGCATACACATGTTCCAGGTCAGTGATTCACCAAGTAGTGAAGGAAGGATGAAGATGACAGCCCAGCGCCATCAAAAACAGGTCCACAGTGTTGGCAGCTGTCGTATTTCTCTCCTGCTTTCAAATCTGTAAGAAGTGACTTCTGCTCAAGCCTTAAAAGTCAATGTACCGTGATGATCACATTGACAGAAAATCAGGTTTTACGATCTTCAGACCCTCCCAGGGAAAACAAGCAGGTATTGTGATGGAGCACACACCCAGCGCACCTCCCTGCACAGTGTGTTTGTGTCTCTGCTGCCTAGCCGTGCCCACACAGCTATATATCACTTGGCACCGGGCACTGTCTCCTCTGCTTACAGCTTGTTACAGCCTAGTTTCAATGGAAATATCCAACCTCAGCTTGCAGTGTGTTTAGGAAACAACCGGAATGTATAGGGCTTATTTGTAAAGAGAATTCATTTATTATAAAAGTTTATTTCAAAAATTCTCAATAAAGCCCAATTGTAGTTGTCCCTTAAAGAAATTAAAGTGTATGTGAAGTATGGCCAAAACGTTTTTAATTTTGGATAGCGTTAGGTGCTATTTTCTGCCGTCTCTGTACCATTGCGGAAATTTCTCCCCAGAGACGCAACAGGAAGTAAGTGGAAATCCCCTGTTAGACAATTGTCCCCAGAACAAGTGTCCCCAATAGAAGAGTTCCCCTTAGTTCTTGTACTGGGGACAACAATAAAACTTAACAGAAAAAGATTGACAGAGGGTCTACCTCTTCCCCACTCCAACCAAAACTAAAAAAAAAAGGTTTTGCCTCTTGATACACTTCAAATCAGGTTGGAAAGTGCAAAGAGGAAAGTTCTAATTTCTTGATCGTACAGTGCAGAATTCAGAGACAACTGGACTTGGTTGTGTGCAGATGTGTAGGCTCCTGTGGGGTTCGCTAAAAGAGAGAATGTTCAAGTGGGCCCCAATTTATTTGGGCTCCCACTTTCATGGAGTTGCGGCAGTCCCCCTCCTGTTTTTCCTCTGCTTGTTTTATAATAAAGGTAGTTTTGAGATTGTCAATAATAAAAGTGTTATTATATTAGAAAAATAAAATATATCTATATTTTACCTCAAAAATTTAGGTGCGTTTCCCCTTTAAGACTCACCTGCAAGTTTTTCGGCGTGAAAATCCTCAGCTCGTAGGGCTTCTGGAAGGTTCCAGGGCACCGCCTATAAAAGGAACGCTCGTGAGAGGAATGGTCACTTGGCTGGACTTCAACACCGCAAGCTCCCCACCCCTCCCTCCCTTTGTTTATGTATAATATTATGTCGTGGGCTTTTATGTGGTAGTGTCACCTCCAAAAGGAGGGGGACTTTAAGTCTGGTTATGGTAAATTTGATATTATATTTGACGGAACACGGCAGCCTTCCCGGGATAACTAGATCGTTTTCGTTCTTCTGACATCTGGTGAGTGCGTTCACTACGGGGGTTTCTCCTTCAGACCAGCATTCCCCCTTGGCACTTCAGATGTGGACACATGTCCCTTTTTCTACAATAAGTTTCCATGAATAAGACTTCACGGGACATTGACATATTAATTTGCCATTCATAGTTTTATGATGATATTTATTATTATAATTATTTACACTTTTTCCATGGTACATAATATCATGTTCATATAATTATATGAATTATGTACAAGTTTTTTACTGCTGTGCTTTCTTGGCACCTATAGTTTTAAAACTTTGATTGTGTTCTAATTTCACCTTCGAGGAAAGATCCACACTGTTTGCCACACATATATTATATATATTTATTCTATTCTATTCTATTGGTTTTTGATGATTACACCGTGAGGCTCAGAGCGCTGTACCAGTGAAAATTAAATTTGATTTTGCTTGAGTTTTGATGACTGAGCAATCGACGTTTGCTTTTAAGAGTTATTAACGGTTTGATTCATTCAGCTAAGTTTTAAACCAATAAAAGTGCCGCTGCCATTTTTATTTCGAAAAATTTGTTGGTTTTGAGTTTTTATTTGGGTTAATATAAAGGTACCGCATGCAATTCCATTATGCTGACCATACATGGCTCAGAACTCTAAGCTGTGGGTGGCCCGGCTGACACCAAACAAACTTTAAATGAGAAAAATGGGAAAAAAGTTGGCCGTACAGTGACCGCATCCAATCATCTGCAGTTACTGTGCAAGTATCCTTACCGCCATTGGTGTCCCTAGCCTAA